TTGGCAGATGCCGTTGCTTATATACTTGCCGCTTTGTCCTCGGTTAAACCCCCGAGAACGGGCATTCTGTTGTATGCGTATTCTTACAAACTGAACCACCACACAGCACATGAATATTGATGAATACATGTTTCCGTAACATTGTTATTGTAGAGCAATTAGTGAGCCGGACAAGCTAAATTCCCTCCGGAATAAACTTCATAAGTTCTTCCATACAAACATTTTGCAGATATGAAAAGCAAATTTGGAATCAACGTTCCAATTTGCATCACGGGGACTTAACCAAACATTTCAATTTATGCCCAGAAACAGGCCAAAGCCTGTTCTGACTTCCTGGTTAGCCTTAAAAGCTATAGTTACCGTAGTTAGCTGGCGAGACATTTGGCTACCTTAAGAGAGCCATTGTTACTCCCGCCGTTTACCCGCACTTACTCGAATTACTACGACTTAACATTCAGCATTGGGCAGAAATCAGAGACAGTAAACGTCCGCAAGGACCATCTTTCTCCTTTGTTTCAATTAGATAGTCGGATTCCCCGATTCCGTACCAGTTCAGTTCGACCGTTTTGAAGTTCGGTCAGGATACTAAGCCCAAAGACAAAGCACACACCTAAAAACGTCCACAAGGCCGACCCGGTCACTGGAGCCAATCCTTTTCCCGAAATACGGATCTACCGACTTGCCGACTTCCTTTACCTAAATTGTTCTATCGACTAAGGCTGTTCACCTTGAAGACCTGATGCGGATATCGGTACGATGAGCACAGATTAATAGCTTCCCTTGGTTTTTCAAGGGTTGTCCGAAGAACACGAAACATCACAGAAAACGCGATGCTTTACTGAAACAACGTCCCTATCTGCGGCTGAACCGATTCCAGAGAGTCTGTTCCTTAACTAGAGAAGAGAACTCTTGCTCGGTCGCTGAGCGACGTAACCAAATTGGAATGCGTTACCGCGCAAGCGACTCAAAGAGCCGCAATCTCTGTGTCTACGTTAAGGAATATTAACCCTATTCCCTATTGATATCTGGGAGGAAAGAAACTTTTCCCTCTCGATGATACAGGGCATAAGCCAGTACCTTAGGATCGTGACCCACATTCAACTACTGTTCACGTGGAACCCTTCTCCACTTCAGTTTTCAAGGATCGAACTTAAATA